TGTGGGAATCTCCAGGCCTTTTAACCACTGGTTCAGATTCTGTCAGAGTCTGACCATCAATACCTGTCGGACCAAAAAGTAAATGCATTAAATTATTAGCAAACATAATGATGTGCCAGATTAAGATCAGACAAACTCTTGACCTGCCCAGCAGATAGTTAACAGCAGCAGTCCTGTCCTATAGTCCATCATGTTCAACTGTGTGTCCACTGTTCTCTGTCGTCCTCTCTGCAGTCAGATAAGTAGAGGTGGAAGACATCTGAGTTTTGCATTGACTCCTCCTCACAGACAGTATCCAAGTAGATTGAGCTTTACATTATGTTTGTCTGTGTTGAAAATGTAAATTAAATTTTAATGTACATTACTGCAAAGAAGGCTTGTCTTACAGGGTCTGTACTCGACCCAACTCTCTTTTCCTTGTACATTCTTCCGCTGGGTTCAGTTCTAAATATGGCTTCTCCCTTCAATGTTATGCGGATGAAATCCAGATATATTTACCACTAAAAGCAGCCGGGGGTGTATGTGTCCGTCTCTACAGCCATTGTTCGACTGGTGTTTGACAGACCTGAAAGCGTGGCTGGTGCAGAACATTTTAAAATAAAATGAGGATAAAACTGAGTGTGTTTTATTTGGTGATGTGGCAAAATTTCTTGCTTTTAACCATGACTTAGGCCCCCTGGCTCATCATCTGAAGATGACTGTAAATCTGGACCGAAATCATCAGTGGTCTGAGGGCTCCTCCTCTGGTGGCTTCATGTTACAAGTGTTCAGGCTCTGAAGGTTTTTGTTCAGGTCTACTGATGGTTTGTGTTACTGTGGCTCTCTGGCACAGTAATACACAGCAGTGTCTTCAGGCTGCACATTCTGTCCGTTTAGAGTCACTGTGATGCTGGAAGAGTATAAGTCAATACTGAACTTGTTCTTTAGAGAATCTTTGTAGTATGTGGGGTGTCCAGCACGAGCGCCTCCAGTCCACTCCAGTCCTTTCCCTGCAGGCTGTCTGATCCAATGTGTGCGATAGCTGCTCAGAGAATAAAAGACCTGACAGGTGATGGTCAGATATTGACCTGGCTGCACAGTCACAGAGGCTGGCTGTGTCAGCTGTTCACACTTCACACCTGTTAAAAAAAAGAAAATGTTTTGTGTCAAATTATTCAGTTCTATTGCAAAAAAAAAATGAAAAGAATTTGACCAAGACAAGCCCAGTTAGACTCATAGGATCAAGCTGCCAGCAGCAGTAGTAGAGCTAGAGAGTTTATGGTCGAAATGCATGTGCCTGAGGGCCTGTTTTTATAGCTGAATGTGAAGAAAGGTCACATAGAGTTTGCATAGGGTCAAACATATGAAGCATGGTGGTGGTCTAGCTGTAGCCAATACACGATTTTGCTCAGAGTCACAGAAACACAACACAGATTGTGGAGGAATTTATTTACGTGTATATGCACGGTATATGAAACATACATGATACTGTAGCTGTTAATAATAGCTCACTGTTAAACTGTCTATTCTGATGCTAGACTGTCCAGTCAGAGATTGTAGTGACTCATTGTCTGACAATAGGATCAACAGCAGGGAAAATAAATGATAGAAAATATCCTTGTTATTTTAAACATTAACTTAAATTTAGATCTTTTTAATTTTTCAAAAGGTTTCTAAAACAAGTCAGATGAGTTGGACAAAAGTGTTCACAGTTACACTCAAACACAATATTTATTCTTGGCATTTGCAGGAGTTACATGTGGGAGAACAACAGAGCAATAATAATAATAATAATAATAATAATAATAATAATAATAATAATAATAACACCACTGATATAAATGATCCACTCCAGTGCTTTTCCAGGAGCCTGTCTGATCCAAACCTTTGCATAATCACCACCAAATCCTGAATATGTGCAGGTTAGTCTGTTGGATTCTTTTAACCACAGGTTCAGATTCTGTCAGACTCTGACAGTTGTTGACTATCAGCACCTATCAAATAAGAGAAAAGTCATTTGCTGTAAGTTGGCAACTTCTTGAAAACTGATTCAACTGAAAATTTGTAGATGTTGTTTCACCTGCCCAGCAGATAGTTAACAGCAGCAGTCCTGTCCTATAGTCCATCATCTATACTATCTGACTTCTGTGTTAACTCCTCCTCTCAGAGAGGAAAGGCCGGACTGGATTTGACCATCACAGACTTTGTTTGTTAAACTCACTGTACTCATTCATGTACAGTGAGAGAACAGTCTTCACAAGTTGAATGTTGTCCTCAAAATTTTAGGGGTTTAAAGCTGTTAAAAGGTTTATTCACAAGAAAAATCCAGAATAATAATCATGATCAAAAGCACATCACAGAAATTGAAATGCACTGAATGTCTAAATGTCCTTCAAAACAAATGCACACAATTTTGTTGTTATTATATCTGTTACTATATTATATTATTAAGGGCTGGCCAGAGAAGGTTGAGCTAGATTCCGACATTAAGCCTTACTGGCAGTTCAGAATGGACTTGCACATGGCACAAGGCCTTCTGGTTCCTCTACTGAGCACGAGAGGCTTGGATGACCTTCTGCCAAGGATCCTAAGATTTCACCTGAGATTGCTGCGTTTCTCATATGACATTGTCCACGTTCCAGGGAAGAGTCTCGTCACAGCAGATGCGCTGTCCAGAGCTCCATTGCAGGACCCGTCCTCCGCAGGAGATCTCCATCGTGACCAAGAGGTGGAGGTCTTTGTAGACTGTGTGATGAGGTGTCTTCCAGCCACAGAGAAAAGGCTGGAAGAAATTAAAGCAGCACAGAATGAGGATGTGGTGTGTAAAAAAGTGATGGAACGGTGTCTTAAGGGATGGCCAGAGAAGGTTGAGCTAGATCCTAACATTAAGCCTTACTGGCAGTTCAGAATGGACTTGCACATGGCACAAGGCCTTCTTATGAAACAAAAAAGACTTGTGATACCAACCCCACTGAGAGCAGATGTTCTGAAACGCCTGCACGAAGGGCATCAGGGGATTTCAAAATGCAGGGACAGAGCTAAACAATCTGTATGGTGGCATCATGGCACAGATAGGTCAAATGGTCGACAACTGCGAAACGTGTGCAAAATACAGGACACAGAACTGTGAGCCATTGCTGCCCCCTCCACTCCCCGACCGGCCTTGGCAGAAGGTGGAGATGGATCTGTTCGAGTGGCCAAAGAAACAGTACCTTCTGATCATAGACTATTTTTCAAGGTACATTGAGATAGCAGCTAAAGTACACATTGGCTGAGGTTACTATCAGAGCTATCAAAGAAGCCTTTGGAGACATGGGACAGTGGAAACTGTCATAACAGATAACGGCCCACAGTTTTCCTCAGAGAGGTTCAGACAGTTCGCAGCTGAGTGTCAGTTCACGCACATCACCAGCAGTCCACGTAACCCCCAGGCAAACAGGGATGCAGTGCGGACGATAAAGGCTCTGTGGAGGAAAGACATAGACCACAGTAGAGCACTGCTGGCATACAGAGCCACTCCGATGGAGCACGGGTCCTCGCCAGCCCAGCTATTGATGGGGAGAAACCTGCGCACCTCCCTGCCTCAACCGCTATCTGCAATGATTCCTGTGTGGCCCAATCTACAGTCATATTGCAGGATGGCAGAAGAAGGAAAGAGGCGGCAGATGAGACATTACAACAGGAGACATCGAGCCTGACCACTTCCAGAACACGAAAGGGGTCAGAATGTCTGGATTACCAAAGAAAGACAAGTCATCTTCGACCTACAGGGACAGTTATGAGGTCTGGTAGACTGGTTAAGCCACCTGGAAGATTGGACCTGTGAACACGGGGTCAGAGGAAAGGCACGAGGATGTTTAAATACAGTTAAGTTATGGTTCAGCTGTCTGTGTTCACAAAGGAAAGAGGTATGTTGAGAATAAGTAACCAAGTGTAAGAGTTAGAAGTTACGTACATATTAAGTTCGATGGAAATGTAAGATGGGCAATTGTAAACATCTTTTGATAATTAGAATTGGTTATTGCATTGTTTTTGTTTTTGATTTTGTTGAGTTACAAAGCCAAAAGATGATGTGGGTATATAATACCCACGAACAAAGCGGGTGTAAACTAAACATGGACAGAGCACAAGTTAACATGTAAAGCACATTCATTAAAATCAATAATCAATTTGTTGTACTGAAGATGAACTGTTTCCTTTGTTCATTCAGTCCAAAAACGATTTTATAAGCAACAAGATTCTTGAATTTGCCTTTATATGAAGAAGTAATTACTGTGACATTTTAAAACCTTTGTTGTTGTATTTAATGTTAATTTTGAAATAATATTTTTACTCTGAGATGGATTTTATAACAGCATGTGTTGTCTGGGAAATTATGTGTTCATTCAAAGCAAAAAGAAAAGTAGGAAGACAAATATTTATTATTGAGGCCTGTCAATCTACTGAGAATGAGGAGTATGTTTTTGTACAGCTGCTCAACCAGCTCCAGTCACTGTGAGTCTCTGGCACAGTAATAAACAGCAGAATCTTCAGTCTTCAGACTGTTCTTCTGCAGATACAGCTGGTTTCTGTTGTTGTCTCTGGAGATGGTAAACCGGCCTTGGGCTGACTGAGAGTAATAAGTGCTGTCACCATTAGCATTGATAGCTGCAACCCACTCCAGCCCTTTTCCAGGAGCCTGTCTGACCCAGTGCATGCCATAGCCAGCAAATCTAAATCCAGAGGCTGAACATGTCAGTCTGTGGGATTCTCCAGGCCTTTTAACTACTGGTTCAGATTCAGTCAGAGTCTGACCATCAACACCTGTCAGACCAAAAAAGAAATGCATGTAATGTATTAAATTAGCAGCAAAAATAAGTCTATGTCAGATTAAGATCAATGAATCTCTTGACCTCCCCAGCAGATAGTTAACAGCAGCAGTCCTGTCCTATAGTTCATCATGTTCAACTGTGTGTCCACTGTTCTCTGTCGTCCTCTCTGCAGTCAGATAAATAGAGGTGGAAGACATCTGAGTTTTGCATTGACTCTCCTCACAGGGAGGAGCCAGCTGGAGAAGTTTTGGATTAGTTAAAATGTGTGAATAAATATAAGTTGTAATGTATTACAGTTTTTCTCAGTGGTTTTGTAGATTTCTCAGATCAAATGTAATGAGCCAGGTGGAAAAAGAATAGGAATTGGGCTGTGTGTTGAAAGAGGTAGAAAAGGCAAACACATACAATAAGCATGTTCCCAATGAAATCAGGGCCATAGTTGTGGACCATATTGTCATTCATGGCCTTACAAAGGCCGAGGCTGGTTGAAGGCAGTCGAATGTTGGGAGAACAAATGTTCTGTCTAGGGGGTGTTTCCTTTGTTTGCATTTCTAATGTTGTATTTTTGTTGTTTTTTTTACTTTGTGCTATGCAGTGCTAGTCCCTGGTAAGCTAGTGGTTAAGGCGTAGCACTCCTGTCGCGGTGCCCTGGGTTCAAATTCAGGTTGTGGTAGGAGGAGCATCCGGCATAAAACACATGCCAAATGTCAACATATGAGTCTTCAGTGTGGCAACCCCTAAACGGGAAAAGCCGAAAGTCACTTTCTTTCTTTTGTGCTATGCTGTAAAACACGTATTTTTCTGTATCACAATGACATAACTGTAAAAACAGTAAAAGTGTAAATGTGAATACTGTTCAGTCTTGTTTTTATCAGTAGAATCAATATAGTTTCACATTTTCAGTGCTACAAACACTGGACTGAAATCATCAGTGGTCTGAGGGCTCCTCCTCTGGTGGCTTCATGTTGCAAGTGTTCAGGCTCTGTAGGTTTTTGTTCAGGTCTACTGATGGTTTGTGTTACTGTGGGTCTCTGGCACAGTAATACACAGCAGTGTCTTCAGGCTGCACATTCTGTCCATTTAGAGTC